CCAGTGTGTGAATGTGTGTGTGAATGGGTGAATGACTGAATGTAGTGTAAAGCGCTTTGGGGTCCTTAGGGACTAGAAAAGCGCTATACAAATGCAGGCCATTTACCATTACTGCTTAATCTGCTAATACTTGCCTTAAGTCACCTTTACTTGTACCATCAGCCATTACTCAGCCAACGCCTGCCTGCTGCCGCTCTGTCAGCTCCACGGAGCCGCAGTCACCACAGTGGAGGGCATTGGCAGCACCAAGACCAGGATCCACCCGGTGCAGGTCAGTTCCAGGGACACCCCTGTTATTTATGTCATCTATGTTTATTTGGAAAGTTCGCTTTTATTCCACAGCATTCCTCCTGATGAGTTGTTTGGCTAATTCTGTGATTTCATTTTAATGGCCAACTTTATTTACATGCAAACAAACTGTAAACCAACTGGGGGGGGGGGGAAAACAACTGCAAACACAAGATAAACTGTTAGGTTTGTGGTTATGTCCTTCCAGGAGCGAATAGCCAAGGCTCACGGCTCCCAGTGTGGCTTCTGCACTCCGGGGATGGTGATGTCCACGTACGCTCTGCTGAGGAACAAACCGCAGCCCACCATGGACGACATCACCCAGGCTCTGGCTGGTGTGTTCACTCTCATTTGAGTTGTTTGTTTTTCTGCTGTCATAGTTTGTCACATGTAACGGTGAATAGTTGTGTTGCCCAACTTTTGTCCTTCCTGTCAGTAAATGGTACAGTCACTCTCTCCAGTCAGCTGAACACACAGTACTTTTTTAGGAGAGTAACCACTCTGACTTAAAAGCATTCAGATATTCTACTTTTTTCTTGAGGGCTCTTTTGAATTTTGAAGATTATGGCTTGTAGTTAATGAAAATCAGAAATCCAGTATTAATTATGGGAATATTTATTGAGATGAATAAAAAAAGATTTGTAGTACAGAAATGTCCAGACTGTAGGAGTCAGGTAAGGCGTGTTGGCTGGCAGGTCAAGTTTATTTATAACTAACTCAGTCACACTAGCTGCAGGGCTCGCAAAATTTCAAAATCCCTGGTAGCCCTTCAGGCAGGGACTCTTCAGTTTTTGGTAGCCCAAAATAAATTTAAGTAGCCTGAATAAAAAAAGAGCAATTTTTTGATTGATTTGTTTCCTGTTTTGTTTCCTTTACAATATTGTACTTTAATGTATAATATTGTAAAGGAAACAAAACATTAATCAAAAAATTGTTGAAAACACAAATTACAACATTGTATAAAAATTACAATCATCAACTCAAATACTTGGTTCTAATTGAACAGAAATTTCTATGAACTTGTAAGAACTTAGGGCTGGGCGATATATCAAAAATTTATCGTTACCGAAATTTATGACTCTCATCGACGTCATTTTGCCCATGTCGGTAAATTCGGTATTTAAAAAAAAAAAGAAAAGGCATGTGCAGGTTGGCGATGTTCATGTCCCTTTAAGACGCTGTGCTACGTTACAGACTTGACGGGGTGGAGTCACATGACTCTACTACCTGTAACAAGACGAGACACGGGTGAACAAATGGAGGACGATTTAAATGTTGAAGCAGCAGCGACGGAGGTAGAGCTGGTGGAGGAGGAAGAGGAGACGCTTGTTAACAAAAAAAATGCATCATCAATCGTTTGGCAACATTTTGGATTCAACAAGGATGATATTGATCAAAAAATTGTTAAATGTAAACTCTGCAAAAAGACTGTTGCGTCAAGTCAAGGTAACACAACCAACCTCTTCCACCACCTGCAGCACAACCATGTGATTCAATTCGAAGACATAAAAAAAGCTCACGAAAGAGAGTAGGAGGACCAGCAAAAACGTCTTCCTCCACCAGGCAGCGGTCAATAACCGAAGCATTTGCTAGTACTCAACTATATGAGCGAACTTCAAAAAGATGGCAAGAAATCACAAATGCTATAGGCTACCACATAGCAAAAGACATGGCTCCTATTGCTACAGTGGAACGCAACGGGTTCAGACACTTCATGAAAATAATTGACAATACGAACTCCCATCACGAAAATATTTTTCAAAAACTATCATTCCCAGCATGTACAGCACAGAGAGGGAAAAGGTTGCTGCTGAATTGAGATACGTTAAGCACGTTGCAGCCACATCCGATCTCTGGTCCAGCCGTACAATGGAGCCGTATATTAGTCTCACAGTTCATTACATCGACAACAAATGGGAGCTGCGTACCAGAGTGCTCGAGACGGCCTATTTTCCATCTGATCACACGGGGGAGATGGTTGGACAGGGGTTGAGAGCGATGCTGTCTGCATGGGACATCAGTGAAGAGGACCTTGTTGCTATAACAACTGACAACGGCCCAAATATTGTGAAAGCTGTCAAGCGGGTTTTCAGTTCTGGAGGAAACATTGTGACATGCCTCAGATCCTGCCTGAAACCTGACATGGTCAATATGCTTGTGTTTCTTAGCAAGAACCTGGAGTAAACACTACTCAGGTAAACATCTACAACAGTAGTTTGACTGAACCGCTCAGGATACCAAGTCCGCTGCTGCCCCTTGTTGAAGTGCCCTGTTCAAGCCCTGCCTAATTTTAACTATCAGTGTTCTATTGAAGTTTTTTGCAAACAGCACTATTTAATGTTTTGTTTAAGAGTTTATAGTTTTCACTAGTCACATGGCAGTGTTTAGTATTTATTATAGTTTTTTCTGTGTTCAATTGACATTTGTGTTTGTGACATTATTTGTTTACAAGTTATAGTACCTCAAGGTCTTAGCAGAGAGGCCTTTGTCCATGATGGCATTACATTTGCACAATCATTGTTTACTTTGTGAATAGCCAATGTGAAACATATTTAGTATTAAACTATTTTGTTTACAAGGGATACACATTTTTTTTTTTTTAGAGAGCATGGTTACATATTGTATCCTACACTTTTTATTTTGTTCAGTTAATAAATCTTAACCACTAAAAGTACTTACTACTATTGTCTTCATTTATTTTCAGTGACATTTTACAGTCCTTTAAAGTGGTAATAATATAATTGCAATGAATAGGTCTAGGGGGAATAATATCAAAATAACTGGAGGAACTATGCTGCCTGCCACAGCCCCATCAAATGGAAAAAAAAAAAGTTTGTTTTTGGCACTTGGGGTGGTTATCAACCTCGATAACGATAAATGGACAACTGCTCAATTTATCGTGATATTGATTTTAGGCCATGTCGCCCAGCCCTAGTAAGAACTGTGTAGGACATGAATCAGTCTGTGTCAGATCCTGAATTCGAAATTTCCACTGAAGTCACAGGTAAGAGGCAAGTGGAACCAAGATCTAGGCCATTTGCTTTTTGAAGTTTGCAAAGACTGCTAAATTGTGCCAGTGGTAGTTCACTCTTTGCAACATAGTACGCTGTTTTAAACTGATTTTCAGGTTTATTTTAAGTATGTAATTTGCAATTACTGCTCAGTATTGCAGACTGAGCAATACGTGCTTCTTTTGTGGTTCGGACTCCTGACATTTCTTTGGAGGTGGAGGAACATCACAGTAATTGCTTAAAGGAGCTTCTTCGACATCTTTAAGAGTTCTAAACAAATGTCTGTCCTCCTCCAGAAAATCTTATGTACGCAAACACGCGTTGCAACTTCTCATCTTGTGCGTGTTTTTTATTTTGACAGCGAATGCGCACCTGCGGACCACTTATGTGCAGCCCTGGTTTTTTAGCTCGTCATATTGCAGCCACAGAAATTCTTTTGTCCATGAAACCATAAAGCTGCACTTTCTTTTTGCCTTATAGTCTGATTTGTCATAACTTTTCAGTTTTGTGGTAAGCTTTTCTTTGGCTGTCACTTCTTCACCCTGACCTGTCTTATTTGGCTCAGCAGAACTAAAATATAAATCCTGCTGCTTTTACACACGCACTCACATAAGCTCAGCGATTCTCTGCGCGATCAACCTCTCACATGTTTAAGCTTGCTGCGGGAGATTTCACTTGTCATGTTTGCATAGTAAGCTAACGATTGATAAGACGATGTCAGAGGAATTGGTGCACAAATTATCATCACTCACAGATCAGTGCTGTCGCTCTCTATACACAGTTCGCTCGATTGCAAAGTGAAAGCAAAAAACAAGCGCAAATTCAAACGCGATTTCAATATGTCACATATTGACAGTGGCTCACCGATGCCAATGACATAATTACCCAGCTACATTTCCGAAAGAATGCAAAAGCATTGACATATATTTTTCCTTCCTATGATAGGCCGACGGGCAGGGCAGAGATAGATTTTGGTAGCCCGACTCGAAAAATCGCTAGCCCCGGGACGTCGGGCTAGCAATTTTGCGAGCCCTGAGCTGACTTTTGACAAATGCTGGTTGGAGAATGGGACGCCATCCCACATTAGTGTGTGACCAGCATGAGGAGGAGGTGCCAGGCTGCTATCCCTGCGCAAATACTTTTTGTGTAAAGCTTATTTATTTTTAAAAACATTTGAAGATGATTAATTAAAGGCCAGTCGAAGCGGGCACGCTCCGTTTTGCATAACTATTTTCAATCCCGGTAGAATTGCAACCACATAAGCTAGCGGAATTTTTTTTTTTTTTTTTTTTTTTTTTTTTTTTTTTTTTTTTTGCATAAAACCAGAGGACTTGCATCTAATGCATTCAACTTGCGCTAGGTCATTTCCTTCCACATATAGCTTTGCAAAAAATTGCATAAAAAGCACTTGCAGCAACAAAAACATAATATTCCAGAAACACGCTTTGCCAATCCGATCAGCTGTTCAGAACACTTCCTATGCTGGAGTAAATGTTAGCGCGAACTATCACATGTCCGCCATCGACTGCCAAAACCAGAAGTGACGTCATTTTCATGGGAGACCTAGTTTTTCCCTACAGGGAATTTAATAAGATTTATTGTTGTTTATAAAAGTCATGTTTGACTTTATGCCTTTCTGTATGGTTCCTGGGATGCTTAGAACTCAAATTGCACTGCTGGAAATGGTTTATTTTGATGCACATGCGGTTTTGTTTTTGGTTTCTTTGCAAATTTGCATTATAATAATTATTTTCCTGGAGTATATAAAAATTGGTGTATCTCAAAAATGAAACTATGAAAACACTCAAAATAAATTCCTGTGGTTGGAAACTATTTTGTGCAACTTTTTGCATTTACAGTTTTGAGGGATAGACCTCTGAAATTTCTCTAACTAGAAATATGTAGAAAAACAAACAAAATAAAACAAAGATGATTCTCAATTTATTTTTTGTAGTTTATTGCACTTTTTTGCAATTAATGTAGTTACTATGGACTTAATGCATACATATTTTTGAAATTTGGGATATAACTGTTGTATTGATGTATAGCAACTTGAAATGCTCCCAAAAACACTACAGTGTGTTTATTTTAAAAAAAAAAAAAATGTGAGCTCTGGCGGACTTGGTTCTATGGTGGGCCTTAAAGGGTTAAGTCTTGAGATGCAGCTGCAGGTGTTCTTGAGGCCCTCTCCTCTCCGTGAACGTGGCATTTCGGCTTCATGCCTGGACAGCAAACTAGTTACTCTTAAAAACTTGTGGTGAAAATCTGTGTCAGACCTCACTTGGACATCACAGTTAGGGAAAATGTTTTATACAGTAATATGAGAGAGGGTGGAAAATTGCATGAGAGCCTGCCTTGTAGTTGATGTATGTTCCTACCCTCATGTGTGATCTGCAGGTAGTGAACAAAGCCAGGTTGCAAAGAGTAGCTGGAGTCGCACGTGTTTTTATAATTCACGGCTTCTTGTTGGGGAAAACTTTGATATGTTTTGATGACATTTATCATCGAAGTAAAATGAACTCACTGTGGCGTTTCTTCAGGTAATCTGTGTCGGTGTACCGGATATCGACCCATTGTGGAAGGCTGCAGGACCTTCTGTCAGGTACACTCTAATTTAGGCAATTTTTTTTCACATTTATATAAAAAGAGAGAAATGTGAGAACACGAGTATAAACAAATTGATACGTTGATGCCAACAGGAAGCCAACTGCTGCCAAGCCAATGGTGCTGCAAACTGCTGCCTCAATGGAGAGAAAAATGGTGATGAACCTGAGCAGGTGAACCCGAGTTTTTTTGTTTTGTTTGGTTTGGTTTGTTTTGTTTTGTTTTTTTGGGGGGGGGCTTCTCTTGTTTTCCTCTCATTTTACTGATGCTGCTTTTAATGAAGCACATTCTTCTGACCTTTAACTGCTCAATCAAGCAATTAGCTTATATTTGGTGTTGCTGTTCTTTTTATGCACTGCTCTTGAACACCTGATCAACAGTGTAACAGGCAGTTAAACTTCAAGGACATCAGTGTCCATCTTTATGCTGAGGGGACCCTGATTCATCAGAGTAAAGGACAAAGCCCGGCTTTGTGTGGCCAGAGTGTGTAGGCAGCTCCTGGACGAAGCATTGATTGGCCTTCACGTTCCTCAGACCAAAAGCCACGTGAGAACCTCAGAGACTTAATGAGTCAGTGCCTCAAACACTGCCACGTGGAGCCACAGACAATTCAGGAGTTCAGTGATGGCCTTACCTAGGTTTCAGAGGAGATTCAAGATTCTTTGGCACATGCATAGTTATACATGTGACAAAGCATGCGGTGAAATGTATCACGACACGGTGTGCAAAAAGGGAGAGAACATTATATACATGAAGTAAAAATGCTGTATGTTCTGGTTTAGGACCCGCATGGCTTGGGGATAGAAGCTCCTCTTGAGTCTTTGTCCTTGCCTGGATGGTGCGGAACCTTCTGCCTGATTGCAGAAGTTGGAACAGATTGTTCCTGAGCCACCACAGTCTCTTTGGGAGCATGCTGAGGTTGTCAGGAGTGCATGAGGGCCCACGGGGGTTAATCCGGGTTTATTTCTTTCTGTTTTCTCGTCTGCAGGAAAAGCCTCAGCTCTTTGACAAACTGGATCTTCTGCCATTGGATCCAACACAGGAGCTGATCTTCCCTCCAGAGCTGATTGTAAGTCATCAAAGGCAACACGAGGAAGGTCTTTAAAATTCACACTTACTCCTGCACCAAACCAGGATGTATCTAAAGCTCCAGTTAAACTATTGATGCTACAGTAATGTCCCTTTTCACTACAGCTGATGGCAGATACAACGAGCCCTCAAACACTCACCTTTCATGGGGAGAGGGTCACCTGGGTGTCTCCGGTTTCTCTGGAGGAGCTGATCCAGCTCAAGGCCAAACATCCCAAAGCTCCCCTGGTCATGGGCAACACCAACATAGGTCAGCAGAAAACACCCTCTGAGGTGTTTCTAACATGATTTAAATAGTGGAAATGGAGAAAAGATTTTTCTTTGTCATTATTTGATCAAATTCAGGTTTCTAAACAAGATCAATTACTGGTTAGACTCCTGCTTTTATAAAGTGTATCGGATTACCGTATTTTCACGACCATAAGGCGCACTTAAAAGTCTTAGATTTTCTTCAAAAAGTACGGCGCGCCCTATAGCGCAGTGCGCCCTGTGTGTTGTAATGAGGACGTAGTAGAGAACAAAATGAGAACGCTAAAGGGTGAAGTGTGGCCGAGTTGGAGGAAAGACTCGAGCGGTGGATCATCGAGCAAAGAGCGAGCGGGAGAAGCGTTTCGACGGTCACCATTCGGCTAAAAGCAGTTTCACTAGCTGAAGAGATGAACATTGAACATTTCCAAGGAGGTCCGTCTTGGTGCTTTCGTTTTATGAAACGGTGCCATTTTTCCATCCGGACCAGGACTACGGTAGCGCAGCAACTTCCAGCGGATTATAAGGAAAAGCTGGCCATCTTCCGCTCCTACTGCAGCAAACACATCGGCGACAAAAACATCCAGCCCAGCCACATCACAAACATGGACGAGGTCCCGCTCACTTTTGACATCCCGGTGAGTCACACTGTGGAGAGGCGAGTTACGCCACAATTTGCCAATGGATTGTAGATGCTTGGGCTAACATGTCTGCTGGCACTGTTGTTCGAGCTTTCGCAAAAGCCGGCATCGTTTCCGAGGAGCCGCACAGCACGGAAAGTGACTCTGACGGTGAAGACAGTGAACTTGGCATGTTTGATGGAGATTTAGCGCAGCTGTTCAATTCAGACACAGAGGATGAGGACTTCCATGGGTTTGATTGATGATAAAAATGTGAGTACCAAACTTTGTTTTGCTCCCGCTTTATTTTTAAATACGCATACGGTACTTGTATGCGCCCTATAATCCAGTGCGCCTTATGTGTGTGTTAAATACAGTAATGGCACACATAACTGAGACTGCGCCTTTTAGTACAGTGCGTCTTATGGTCGTGAAAATACGGTAACCTGCTGTATTTGCTTTGTGCTGAAGGTCCAGACATGAAGTTCAAAGGCATCCTACATCCGCTGATCATCTCTCCAACCAGAGTGAAGGGGCTGTTCGAGGTCTCTCAGACGCCACAGGGTGGGTAACCTACACCTTCAGCTGAGGCTCCAGCCCTCTGTTGGTGTTCATGCACAGGCAATGAGTTTATTTTAGGGTGTGCAAGAGGTATTTAAAGGAAAGAAAGTTGGTTAATGTGCTTCCTCTCTGCAGGCGTTTGGGTGGGAGCGGGCTGCAGTTTGTCTGAGCTTCACTCTGTCTTGGAGAAGCTGGTTCCTCAGTTCCCGGAGGAGAAGACTGAGGTGTTCAGAGCACTGAACCGGCAGCTGGGGAACCTGGGAAGTGTGCAGATCCGAAACGTAGCTGTAAGGAGAAATCGCACATGTGCCATTGATTGTTATTATTTGTGTTTTACTTCATTTCTAGATTTATTTTCCCCCCTCCTCCACATCCTGTTTCCATCGCTTAAATTAACCCTTGCTGTAGCACTAACCAGCCGCTGTGAAAGAGTCCCATTTAATTTTAATTACAAAGAGCAAGAATTAAAAGATTGATAGGATTTTGTTTTAACATCATCCTGATGCAGGATCCTCAGCTGATATTTGCTCATATTTATTTGAACATTTAATACATCTTGTTTGAGATGTATTCATATTATTTGTAACTGGCACTGTGGTTTCTTGCTTATGGAACATAGACTTAAGTTTGAATAACGTGGACTGCTGCTTTGTGGACACTGCATCAGTGCTGGTGCGTTCCTCTCACCACATGTTGCATTTTAGCCGAGGGCGAGCAGAAAAGGCTCATTGTTTTTGTGAAATATGAAACTCCCTGATGAAGGCTTGTGTGCAGAAGCCTGTTGGAGTTCATCCAGTTGAGCTTGACTAAAGCATGAGAATGAAGCCATTTTTAAATGATTTTTAAGCCTGTATGTACCCATCTATCTGTTTTCAATGTCACAGGGCCAACATGTAGACGACCGTTCATGCTCACATTGGCATCTTTAGAATCACCAGTTAACCGAACACCGTGCATGTTTTTGGGGCTCTGGGAGGGAGTCCGAGTGAAACCACACAGACTTGGGAAGGACAAGCAAACTCCATGCAGAAAGACCCCCACTGTAGATTCAAATGCAGGACCTTCTTGCTGTGAGGCAATGGTGCAAGTGTTGCTTTTGTTGCATATAAGCATTTTTTTATTTTTTTTTGCTGAGCTGTAGTGCTCTGCACTTATTCCAGAAGGTGCTCTGAGCCCGTTGCTCATTTTACAGGGCCGATCTGTAATGGCTGCAGCTGCGGCGCACGGCTGTGACTGGGGTGTCAGGAACCGGTTAACAATAACCAGTCAAACAGTTGCTGCACAACATCAAAAAACCAACACCACATTTAAATTTCCCATAGAACTGAAAGTAAAAAGCTCCTAAGATGTTACGTTTCATGCATCGGTCTAACATTGTTTAAATGGTGCCTGAGTGGCCAAAGCTGAGGGCACAGCTGCTCTCATGCAAGCTCAGCCAGTGAAGGTCTACTGCAGATGATGAGAAATACTACTGCAATATAGTGAACGTTTCCTCATGGGTCAGACGTCATGCAAAAAATCAGCTAGACAAAGAAGAAATATCTTCACTGTGGGCATGAGGGGGCACTGTAAGACAAAAAGAGGGCTGGCTTCAAAGAAACTAGAACTCAAAGCCTTGAATTAAAACTTAAACTGATTATAATCTCCTCTCTTGTTTCTGAGTACAAGTTTAATGTGTCTGCATTTAGTCTCTGGGAGGAAACATCGTGAGTGCGTACCCCAACTCGGACCTGAATCCCATTTTGGCTGCCGGCAACTGCAAAGTCAGCGTGATTTCCAGCGGTGAGTCCAAAAAAAAAATATATCAAGATGAGTGATGAATAAACAAAATGCAACTTGAACTCTATGAATTCACCAGGAGGAAGACGAGAGGTTCCCCTGAATCAGGACTTCTTCGTGGGATTTGGGAAAGTCATCCTGCAGCCGGAGGAGATTGTCCTCTCCGTTTTCATCCCCTTTTCCAGAAAGGTACACAAACTTTATTCTTTATTTGTAAGAACATGCTGCGTCTCCTCCACACTGGTGACACATATTTTACTGTGTGGCTGTGAGCGTCTGTCATAGATTATGTGCTAAAAAGAAAACTATTACTAGTGCTGCACCTCGTCTCACCTGCAGGGGGAGTTTGTTCAGGCTTTACGCCACGCACCGAGGAAGGAGGCCTCCTTCGCCACCGTGACAGCCGGGATGAGGGTGATGTTCTCAGAGAGCTCCAGAGTGGTTCAGGATGTCAGTATTTACTACGGAGGGATGGGCCCGACCACAGTCAGTGCAGCCAAAACCTGCCAGGCCATCATCAGGAGGTCTCTTTGTTTTCCCCTCAATTTCCGCTCTCTACTTTACTTCATTACTTTCTCACCTTGTGCTGATTTGCTTTTCTTCCCTTCAGGCCGTGGGACGACGAGACCCTCGGCCAAGCCTACGACATCCTTCTGGAAGAGCTGGCCCTCCCTCCTTCAGCTCCAGGAGGGAAGGTGGAGTTTCGTAGGTCTCTGACTCTTAGTCTGCTCTTCAAATTCTACCTGGAGGTCCTGCACAAGCTGAAAGCAATGGTAAAAAGAGATCTACTTTAAAGAAATAGTGCGGGGTAATGTGGTAAATCCAACTGACTGAAATGTGTTTTTACAGAATGTGATCACAGACGAGGTCCCTGAGAAGATACAACCTTTACCCAGAGACATCCAACCTGGCCTGCAGGAGTTCCAGGTTACAAAATGGCTTTCAGAATGGTTTAACTCAAAAACAGATGTGCTTTCTTCATAAACCCGACTACTTCCTCTTCCTCATCAGCCTGTCTCAAAGGACCAGAGTAACCACGATGCAGTAGGGCGTCCCATGATGCATCGGTCCGCCATCAGCCAGGCCACAGGCGAGGCTGTGTACTGCGATGACCTCCCAAAGATAGAGGGCGAGCTCTTCCTCATGGTGGTCACCAGCTCCCGACCACACGCTAAGATCACGTAAGCACCAAATGGCAACGCCAACAAGGAAAAGCCAAAAACTACAGTTCCTCTAATGGCCACAGGAGGTGTCTTGTTCATGATCACAAGTAATTATGGTCCCTTCACACAGGCAGCACTAAAAAGCAGATTCTTCTGTTGCTTGCACTGCATAATAGGTTTCCTGCTGTGTCAGCAGGACTTCCACAGGGCTGTGGACTGACATACATTTGCGCGAACAATAGAAATGCAAAATAATGGATGCATACAGGAAACATGAAGACCATGATCAGCTGCAGGAAGTGACAGGAAAGGCAGAGGAATGCAGCCAGATGGACACAGATTTGCTTAACCTTTAAAACGTTAGCCTTAAAACATGGCTTCCACATTCGCAATGCAAAGCTATCTAAAAACCTGCATTCTATCCAAAGACCACCAGATGGCGATAGCTGAGCGATGACCTCTAGGTTTTGTTGTGTGTGTGTGTGTGTCCTGGTCATGCTTTGTTTCCAAAGACGGATGGTGTCACTAACAAAAAGACAGACAGCAGATCTGGCGATGTTAATACTTTCATTGGGAGTCACTGAGATTACAAGGCAGTGCATCAGGGGGCCAGATGATGGTTTGCACATATGCAGAGGAGGGATGGTGGATATACTGGACAAGGGATGTTAAAGAAAATCATGCCTGTGCAGTTATGAAGGAGTAAAGTTACATTTTGTCTCAGGCTGTAAAGATGTTTAATTCTGCTGTAAAGTCAGGCATTTTAACATGGGACTCTATGGCGACTGACTCATGCTTGGAGTCCGCCTCAAGTGGTCACTAGAGGAACTGCAGAGTTTGGCGCATTATTGTTGGTTTCACTTTTGCAATCAACATTAAGGTTGGGCGATATGTTAAAAAAAAAAAAAAAAATTCCAACCGGCAATTGTCAGTCCAGCAATCGTGGGCGATATATTCGCGTATGCGCAGACTTTTTGATGGGCGGAGCAATGTAATCATGCACGGTCTGATTTGGGTGTTTACAACACAGAAGAAGTCCAAACATGGACGAACTACTTAACCCCCCCCCCTCCAAAAAAAAAGAAAATAAATATAAGCACCGTCGTCAGGACTAAAAATTTTAATGCTCTCAACCCATCTGGATTGCAGAATGAACAAAATTTTGACAAACTCCCAAAATGCATTGATGGAGACATTTCAGGGATTTTGAGTCAGTCTGCGCTCCAGCTGGCTTAATTGTTAATCGCGCCAAGTCGTGTTAATTCGTAAAAAAAAAAAACACTAAAGAAAAAAGTTGCCAATGTGTTTTGTTTTTTTTTGGGGGGGGGGGTTTGGGCTTTAAACCAGATGAAAAAGGATGTAATCAAAGCAGTGTGCTGCTTGTGCAGACGTATAGTGCGAGCAAAGCACTCAAACACGGCTAACTTACATGAGTATGTACGTGTCCACCATCTGGCTGAGTATGCGTGGCTATCACCAGCTTCTGCAGCTCCATCAACAAGCATTTGGGCGCACTCTGAAGAGGGTGCAGTGGCTCGCAGTTGAAAGAGGGTGCTTTTAAAAAGATACACTAATTTATTTTATTTTTTTTGGGGGGGGGGGGGTACTGTTGACTGCTTCTATTAGCTCCATCATTCTTAGCAAACTCACTCATGGGCAAATAAATAAATCACCCTGGTAAACTTCTCAAACACGACTAACTTGCATGAGCAATTGGACTAATGTTCATCCAATCGCCCCACCCTAGTCAGCATAATTAAACTCAAAAGCTCCAAAGTGAAGTTTGTCTCTTTAAATAACGAGCTTTAGTGCATTTACATTAGGAAAAAGAGGCTCTTTCTGGTGTTTTCATGCTGATATTTTGATGTTTGCTGTCTGACAGAGGGCTGGATGTGAGCGAAGCCCTACAGCTTCCTGGCGTTGTCGACGTCATCACAACCAAAGACATTCCCGGGAAGAAAGTCCGCACATTTTGCGGCTATAATGAGGAGCTGCTTGCCGAGAGCGAGGTAGAGCCTTCTGCGCACCCGCTGCTCTTTACTCACATTTAAACACTAATGGGGAAATTACGACACTCACCATATCTGCAGGTGTCGTGCATCGGTCAGATGATATGTGCGGTGGTCGCCGACACAAAGGCGCACGCCAAACGAGGAGCAGCAGCTGTAAAGATCAGCTATGAAGACCTGCCCGACCCCATTTTCACCATCGAGGTTTGACTTTTTACCCTTTGAGCATCTGCATCATGGGGAATACTATAGTTTGAGTAGTAAAACTGTTTCTGTTCCTTTACATCGGGGTGTTTTGCTCTGTTTTTTGATAATTCACTGGAGAAAATGCTGAAAGTGCAGATGGGTAAACTTTTCAACGTCACACTTTTTGTGACAGGAAGCCGTCGAGAAGTCATCTTACTTTGAACCACGACGGTTGCTTCAGAGGGGAGATGTGACTGAAGCCTTTAAAACTGTCGACAAGGTTTATGAAGGTAAAAGTTGTTTGAGAACAACCGGAAGAAACGTCTGCTTTTTCTTTTTAAACTCTCCATGTTTTCTCCTCAGGGGAGATTCGAATTGGAGGCCAGGAGCATTTCTACATGGAGACGCAGAGCATGCTGGTGGTTCCCGTCGGCGAGGAGATGGAGTTCAACGTTTACATCTCCACTCAGTGGCCAACTTTGATTCAGGTAAACGGAGCAGGTGTGTGTCAGTGAACCTGAGAGTTACTCAGTGAGTAATGGCTCACCAGTGCTCACATGTTGAACATAAAAGACAAGTCAGAGCTGCAGGTGGGTTGGATCTCTCTGTGCAGGATGCTGTTGCCGAGACCTTGAACATCGCATCCAACAGAGTCACTTGTCATGTCAAAAGAGTGGGCGGAGCCTTTGGAGGGAAGGTCACCAGAACCTCCGTTTTGGCTTCTATCACCTCGGTGGCTGCATGGAAGTGAGTCCAAAGGATTAGCAAGTCTTTCACACAGGCTGGTTGGTAACCTCCAGGCCACAAATATCTGACAGAGGCCGTTCACTTTCAAAGTAAAAGGTCTACGTTACCAAAGCAATTGCAAGTAGGTTTTTGTTTCAGCACCATCTCGATCGTGGCTATCGGGCGATTGTGGCTCAAGAGTTGGGCGTTCGCCTTGTAATCGGAAGGTTGCCGGTTCGAGCCCCGGCTTGGACAGTCTCGGTCATTATGTCCTTGGGCAAGACACTTCACCTGTTGCCTACTGGTGGTGGTCAGAGGGCCCGGTGGCGCCAGTGTCCGGCAGCCTCGCCTCTGTCAGTGCGCCCCAGTGCGGCTGTGGCTACAATGTAGCTTGCCATCACCAGTGTGTGAATGTGTGTGTGAATGGGTGGATGACTGGATGTGTAAAGCGCTTTGGGGTCCTTAGGGACTAGTAAAGCACTATATAAATACAGGCCATTTACCATCTCTGTAGCCACTGGCCAACTAGTGGGGAATACAGCAATTTCCTTAGCAGCTGGCTGTTGCTAAGGGTCTCTTACCTTCACTGTCTGGACCTGTGTTACTGAGGCCTGAAGAGACATTAATAAAGAAAAAGAAGCTGGAAAGTTCTTACATTTGTTTTCTTTTATTATAACTGTTTAAAGGACCAATCGTGCCGTCCGCTGTGTCCTGGAGCGCGGCGAGGACATGCTCATTACAGGAGGCCGACATCCCACCCTGGGAAAATATAAGGTACAACCAAGTGCACAGGATATACCTTCTAATTTTTTAGGTGTTGCCCACTGTTTTGATTTTATTTTATTTATTTAGTTTTTAAGAAAATTACTTTTGAATTTCAAATATACTTTGTATCGTTATTTATTGGTTAGGATTCTGAGTGTTTTGTGTGAGGGGAGCCTTCCAGCGCTTTAACTATTCAAACAGTGTGATGTAAGACAGAACCAAGGTGCAGCAGAGTCTGCAGAGAGGTTTGTGTTTGTCTCTCAGCTGTAAAGGCTGATGTGGTATTGTCTGCACTCTACCGAGCAGGTGTGAAACGTGGATGCCTAAGTTTGTGACTCCAGTAACTCAAAGAAGCGATGTAGGAGTTTTAAATCAATACCATAGGTGTATCTACTAGGAGGTTGAGCGGTAGCTCCAGTATTTTTTGTAAAGAGTTGTCTTGCATTTCTTACTTTCTTGGTGGTTTACAAATGTGGGCTTTAAAGGATTTCATCTTCAGTTTTGAAAGGTTGTGACCAAAAGATCTTTAAACTTTTTAGTTTTAAAGGCGTTGTTGACTTGTGTTCATCATCATCCTGGGAGTTGACTGCTGTTTGTTTCAGGTGGGTTTCATGAATGATGGGAAGATTGTTGCTGCAGATTTCCAGTTCTTTGCCAACAGTGGCAACACTGTAGATGAGTCTCCTTTGGTAAGTGGAAAAAGGAAATGCTACTGGAGATAAATGTAAGTGAAACGCCAAAGAACGTAAGAGTGGATTTTGTGGTGTTTGCAGGTTGCTGAGAAGATGGTCCTCCACATGGACACCGCGTACAACATCCCCAATCTGCGAGGTCGCGGCACCGCATGCAAGACCAACCTGCCATCAAACACTGCCTTCAGGGGCTTTGGGGTGCCCCAGGGCCTACTGATCGTGGAGAACATGATCAACGACGTTGCCATGGTGTTGGGATGCCCCGCCGACAAGGTTCCGCCCCAACCTCTCCTGCCACGAGCTCGACCGGGTTTACAAAACAGCATCTAATTAAATGTTTAAAATCCTTCATCAGATTCGGGAGATGAACATGTACAGGGGCCCTTCGACCACCCACTACAAGTTTGAGTTCAACCCCGAGAACTTGCTGCGCTGCTGGGAAGAGTGCAAGCGCCGGTCTGACTACAGTGCCCGCCGTGGCGCCATCGAGCAGTTTAACGAGCAGAACCGCTGGAAGAAGAGGGGGATTTCCATCATCCCCATCAAATATGGCATCGCCTTTTCAGATGGCTTCCTTAATCAGGTCTGTGATCTTATTCTGTCCCCGCAGGCTTGGAGTTTCCAGAGTTTTGTGCTCATGTTCACAAGTTTTTGCTGATGTGAAAGTCAGCAAAAACTTTGCCTTCATTGTTGGCGCCATACAAAAAGAAGCCATATTTAGTAACAGATCATGCAAAAGGGCATGGAGAGAGCTGCACAACACTGCATGACACCCTGTGATGTCACAATGACTCCGTGAAGTCTTGCAGAATGACACAGTGCAAGAATATATCTTAGATTTTAACAGCTTACAGAAGCCAAAGAGCCAATTCTGCTCAAGTCCTGTGTGTAAAGACAAGAGCCTGTTTCAGGGTCTTTGTGTTTGTGTTTTTTTCTTTGTAGTTGTTACTGCTGTGGCTGCGCGACTGCAGGTTGCATGCAGTCAGCTCAGTAGCTGCTTGCTTCTGTTTAGTTCAGTTTTGTTTGTGGCAGGCTGCAGCTTTGGTCCACATCTACAAAGACGGTTCGGTTCTGGTGAGTCACGGTGGGACGGAGATGGGTCAGGGAGTCCACACGAAAATGCAGCAGGTACTGTGTGAAGCACCTCACTGGAAACAACAAAAATGTGTATATAACAAAATATCATGTATTTGTGTATTTAAAAAAAAAAAAAAAAAAAAAAAAAATGCACTCCAAAAGGTTAACTTAAATTAATTAGTGTTAATGTATGCATGTAAAAATCTTATAAATATAATAAGAAACACATGTTGAGCTATATAAATGTACAATGTAAATATATAAATGGAGTACATGGGGAAAAAAATAGCACGTCGAGATGTATAAATTGGGAATATGTTAAAAATAGTTAAATAATAAAATCATTTTGTGCATCAAAATCAAGAAATAAGCATAAAAAGACTTAAAGAATCACACGATAAATGCATTTATTTTAATGCTATTTAAAAGATAAGAAGACAATTGTTGGGTGGATTAAAACAACAGCTTAACGGTATTGCTGCATATTACATTAGAGCCTTCCAGTTTAATGTTTAACACCATTATATTTGGATAATCTGCGTGAGATAACTGTAGCACTGAAAACATGTGAAGGCAGCACACTGGTGAAGCGGTAGACACGATTTTTATTTTTACCTGCTTACAAAGGTTTACCTCCCGTTATGCTCGCTTCCACCATCGTTTTGCCACAAATGCAAAAAGGGCACCAATTCTAATTTATCCGCCACTGAAAATAGTTCCCGAGAGTTGCACTGTTTGAGGTGCAAATTTCACCGGCCAGGTCGCACCACGGGACATCTGTGGCTGCAATGAGCAGGTGTTAATTATTAGCTTATGTATCAGAAATGTTCAGTAAACTGTTTTGGGGGGGGGGGGGTTGGTTGTAGTTTTGAGACATTTGCAGATATTGACGTTAAGAGGATGAACATTAAAAATACTGTAAAGTTTGTGTCACTGCTGTTTTCGTTTTGTTGGTCTGTCTTTGGCCAGATTTGTGCTTCAGTATTATTACAAAAAAGCAGAAAAACACCAGATTTATGCCTTTCGGGGTCTGGCTTTTTCTGTTTGTTAGATTGCGAGCCGGGAGCTTCACATCCCGCCCTCAAAGATCTACATCAGTGAAACCAGCACCAACACCGTTCCCAACACTTGCCCATCTGCTGCGTCCTTTGGTACCGATGCTAACGGCATGGCGGTCAAAGATGCCTGCCAGATTCTGTACCAGCGACTGGAGCCAATCAGAAAGAAGAACCCCAAAGGAACCTGGGAGAGCTGGGTACGAAAATCCTTGAATGATGTTGTTAGATTTGGAGCATGTAAATAACATAACTTTTCTTTGAACGCAGGCCAATAAAGCATTTATGGAGAAGATCAGTTTGTCAGCGACTGGATTTTACAAGTATGGTAGAAATCTCCCCCCACCCCCATAATGGATGAAGTAGCAGTAAGTGACTGTATCTTCCTGTTTGTCCTCAGAGGTCCTGACCTTTACGTCGACTGGGACAAGATGGAGGGCCAGCCTTATGCTTACTACACCTACGGAGTGAGCTGCTCCGAGGTGGAGCTGGATTGCCTCACCGGAGAATACAGGGTCTGTCTGAACGGTCTCGACTCTGAATGCCACTTGCTGCAAACAGAAGGAATATTTCCAGAAAATAAAGGAATCCTTTTTTAGTTTTCTTTTCATGTTTGTGCTTCTTGCAGACGTTGAGGACTGACATCGTAGTGGATATCGGCAAAAGTGTGAACCCATCTGTGGACATGGGCCAGGTCAGACTTACGGCCATTTTACATCTTTGCATGACTGCCTGGCAGTTGTTTCAGTGTCATTAACCAACACAATGTAAACAGCATGAAAAAGACTGGAGCCAGAATTTGTGTTCTTGAGAAATAGTTCTCTGGGCTTTCTGAAGGTCTGCCAGTGCAGTAAAATCATACCTGGACAGAAAAACACACAGTGGAGCACTATCAGTCATGGATCGGCCTCCCCAGAGCTCGGACCTCAACATTATTGAAGCAGTGTGGGATCATGTTGACAGAGAACAGAACAAAAGGCAGAAACATCCAAAGAAGAGCTTTGAATGTCCTTCAAGAAGCCTGGAGAACTATTCCTGAAGACTACTTAAAGACTAGGGCTGAGTATCGTCACTGATTTCTAGAATCGATTCGATTCCGATTCACAAGGTCCTGAATCGATTCGATTCAGTTTGATTTGAATTTGGGAAATTTTGCCTCAGACAGTCAGAAATATTATAATTCAGATCAGTACATTTACATATTTGTGTATCTATAAAAAGGAAGCTGACACTCGCAAGACTTTATCAAAGGTGTGAGCGTCACAGCAGATGCCTTTGTGTCAAAGTAGCTGAAGATAAAACACAGAAAAACATGAAGGTGATTTTCCTGGCCTGGGATTTTATAAAAATATTCTGCAGTACATCAAAAACGAAAGAAAACCATTAATCAGCTTATGAACATTACCTCTGAAGTTACAGCGGTTTTATTAGAGACACGGCTGAGCGTTTTGCATTTTGTATAATTTTACAAAGTTTAAATCTGTTCAGTATAGAACAGCAGAAATTAGGTTTTCTTTTTGGAAGTGAGTAAAAGGAAAAGAAGAAAAACATCGGCCGACAGCGCTGTAAACAACAGTAGTCTTGTGCGTAACAAGCAAGCGAATAATGCAGAAAACAGATTTCAGGGATAGACGGGAAACTGTTCTTGAAGTACAGAGAGAGAGAGAGAGAGCTGTGCATGAAGTGTGGGGGTTTGTTGTTTTTGGGGGTTTTTTGTGGTGGATGCAAAACGGTAAAAGTCAGGGAATTCAAAACGATGTTTATGTGAAGCTTAGTTTGGATCTTCTTTTGCTGCTTGTTCAGTCAATATTGTTTGGAGAGAGATCAAACTAACAGCTTTAGAATCAGCGTAAACACAAAGCTCGGACCCGCCAAAACATCAGAATCAGTGAGCTGTCGGCTTTCAGCCCCGACCGTGTCCGTGCCGTCGGGTGAGAAAGCCACATCTCACTGATTCTGATCCGCGGGCTTTGTGTTTACGTCTTTGTGCAGAAGCCGTGTACCTGCTCTCATTTACCGTTTTAAATGTTTGGTGGTTGTCAAAATTTTGTGACGTTTCACCTGAGATTCTGGAATTTTGGGCAAAATACATTTGTATAAAACAATCGATTCAGGATTTTAATGAATTGATATCACGTTATCCAAGCCAGAATCCATCATTAAAACCCACCCTTATTAAAGGCACGACAAAGCTAAGAGAGTTCAGAATGTGCTGAGGAATAAAGGTGGTCACACCAAATAAGTAATTCAGTTCAAATTATTATATAGTGCCAAATCAGAACAGCAATCCCCTCAAGGTGCTTTATATTGTAAGATAAAGACCCTACAATAATGCATTGAAACCCTCAGCAATCAAACAACCCACTGTGGGTAAGCACTTGGTGTAAATGGAAAAGAAAAGACTTGCTTTTTAACAGGGAGAAAACTCTGGCAGAACCAGGTTCGCGGAGGGCTGTCTGCAACCAAACCATGGCAATTTTAATCATTTAAAAAGGGGGAACCAGAGGTCCAGAGCCAAAAGTTACCTGAGCTGACCTTCAGGTTTGTTAGAACTGTTCAAACCCCCCCAGTCGATATGTATACTCAAGCCCGTTTGCACGGTTCAGTAAGTGGCTGCACCCATTTCACCCAGTGTTTTAAAACCCGAACAGCTGAATTTAGTTAAGTAAAAAAACAACTTTTAGCAGAGAGTAGTAATTAACGTCTCTCTCCTTGATTTCTTCCCTTCTCTCAGATTGAGGGAGCGTTCATGCAGGGTTTGGGTCTCTACACTCTGGAGGAGCTGAAGTTTTCTCCCTTCGGGCTGCTGTACACTCGAGGACCGTCTCAGTACAAGGTCCCGGCGGTCTGCGATGTGCCGCTGCAGTTTAACGTCTACCTGCTGCCCGACTCTGACAACCCCTACGCCATCTACTCTTCAAAGGTCAGACACAAGGAGGAAGATTACTTCCAAACACCTCAGTCTTTTAGTTTTCTATCGTACTTGGTGCATTGCTGATGTTCGTCTCCTGTGCAGGGTATTGGAGAACCCACCCTCTTCTTGGGCAGTTCGGTGTTCTTCGCCATCAAAGACGCCGTGGCTGCTGCTCGCTCCGATTCTGGTTTGAAGGGACCCTTTTCTCTAAACTCCCCTGCAACACCAGAGAGGGCCTGCTTAGCCTCTGCCTCCCCATTCACTCAGAAGGTAACTACACATGTCAGCTACACAATCTGGAGTTCGCCTAAACGGGACAGTTTGTAAACTTCAGGTCCTGTAACTGTAAATTTATGCTTACAGACAGGAAAGGTCGAGGAGTTCAGCTGTCACATAAACTTTAAGCACATTCTGCTCATATTAATGAGAGGCCACCGTGAGTGATGGCAGGAAGCTCATACCTGTGGGAATGATGATGGTGTGCAGAACTGTTTTGAAGACCAAAACTTTACACATTAATTCCTATTCTTTTTGTTTCCAGGTTCCAGCCAGCAAACCAGGGTCTTTCAAGCCGTGGGCCTTGGACATCTGAGACTGAATCAAACTAAAGATTTTAAACTAATCATTTTTAGCTAATATCAGGTGAAATTCACTTAGAGTAGCAAAAAATACCAGCCGCAGGGCAAAGGTGCTTTTAATCCACTTCAGTGTTTAACACCTTTACAGATTTTATTGTATCATTGAATTTAAGATTTCAGAAGCTAAACACAAATCACTGCGATGCACACGTCACACCTACCCACTGAGTCAAATACACACGGTTAACGCTGTTGTGCAGTCGAGTTTCCTTTGATTTAAGACTGCATGTTTCACTTGTTGCACAGAATCTGTCACAGAGTCCGATGATCATTTCTCTTCTTTTTCTTTTTTTGTGGTGGTCCACCACATGCACAGTGCAGTTAGTTTTTAATCTTTTATAAATATCTTTTTTTAGTTATTCTGTTACCAAATGTAACCAGAATTGTGGCCACTCGAGTGGGTTTCAGCCCGCAGACGTGTTCCTCATTTTTATTCATTTTAAACACAAAGAATCAACACTGTGATTGAATTAGATTTATTCTGTGTTATGGGAAATGCTCTGCCAATCAAAAATATACGTGAATGAGGTCGCTTTCTTGTTACCTGAAAGCATATCGCGCAGAGGAACGAGCACTCAAAAACGGATCCCAACAAATTGGCGCTTTTGCGAATACGTTTGCTGATAGTAACACCATGTGATTCAGCTAATAACACAGGGATTTGATCATTTGTGAAGCCAGGCTGAAAACACTCAGCAATCTGTGCATTCACGACTGGATGTAATACCGGTAGCTTAGCTGTAGCATTTGTAGCTGAGGGCTTCAGCTTCCGGGTAACAAGGAAATGACGTCATTCACGTAGATTACTGATTGGCAGCGCTAACTCGAAATTTCGAGTTGCTTTTCTCAGAATATTGAGTTAATAGCTCGGAATTTTGAGTTATGGATCTTTTTTTTTTTTTTTTTTTTAAGTGGCGGAAACAGGCTTCCATAAATGTGAGACGATCGTCCTTGATCTTTGGTTTTGTCTGAAGGCATTGATTTGTTTTGTGCTTGAATGCTTGATTTAGAAGGGAAAACATAAATTATGTTTAATAAAGCAAAGAAAATCCACCTTTTGTCTCTGTAAAACTAAGGATGAACTCAAAGTCACTTTAGAGACTAAGGCCATGCTGACTGGTACATGAGGATGATCACACCACAAGGATGATCTTCACTGGCTACAGCTGTTGTGCTGCTCATTAAAAGAAATGCCTAATCAGCCACTCACATGGCCGCAACTCTGTATGTTTAGGGACTTAGATGTGGTCAAGACGACCTGCTGGACTCCAAACAGAGCATCAGAATGGAGAAGAAATGTGATATAAGTGGCTTTGACTGTGGTGTGGTGGTTCTGCATATTTGAGCAGCTGATGCTCTGCTCTTCCACACAACCATCGTAAACCTATCATAAATACAGATACTTTTTTTTTCTCTTTTCTTTCTTAAATTCTGCCATATTTGCCTATAACTAAAATATTTCTGTATATCAGGCAAATAACAAACTGAAGTCATGTTATATTACTAAAGTTTACCTGGCACAGTGTGAGGAATTAGTGAAGCACAACATTCATCAAAGCTGGAAGTAGCAACTGCACTATCCTCGGGTGATTTCTGAATTCTGCATTTTGACGCTTTTTGTTTGCTGCCATCCTGTGTTTTGTTTGTTTTTCTGCACCAGAAAACACTGCATTTGGGTGATACTTTATTCAGCAGTTAGCTAGCTCATTGGTAAGTTGCATCCATAAGCTGTACAGTATTACTTGTACAGTAATTGAATTTCATTCACCAACACTGCGTGATGGTGTTTGCCTCACAGCAAGTTGGATTATTTCTTTGATAATTATGTTAAAAAGGCTCAAATATGGCTGAATTGGCAACACAAAGGCTCGTTTCACCCTGTACCCAAAACACATCTTCATGATTCCCAAGACCTTTGGGAAAACATCCCGTGGACTGACTAGGCAAAAGCTGAACTTTTCTGGAAGGTTTGAGTCCCATTACATCAGACATAAAACAGCTTCACAGCAACAGTGTGATGGTCTGGGGCTGCTCTGCTGCTTCAGGATGAGTTGCTGTAATTGATGGAACCATGAATTCTGCTCTCTACTAGAAAATCCTGAATGAGAATGTCTGAGCATTAGTTCCTTCCCTGAAGATCAAGAGCACTTGAGTTCTGCAGCAGGACAATGATCAGAAACACACCAGTGCAAAAGTAAAAAATAAAAATCGAGGTTTTGGTGTGATCGGACACTGATAAAGGGAAAAATGTTAGAACATGAAAGGGAATGTAATTAAACCTGCAAATATCAATCATGTTTATTGTGTGCATATATGTATATGATAAATTAATAAATGAACCTATATGTAGTGTGTTTGGGTCTGTGAGCTATTTTCACTGTTTACCAAAAGGAAATTAGTTTCTTTTTTTATTTTAGCCACAGAATACTTCCCTTTGGGTGATTTTCCATGAAGAACAAATCGACTAACACATTTTCAGAGACTTCAAGCCTTATGCATTTATATCACACATGTGGTGTTCATGCCATAAAGGTATGGAGGAACTGTTTCCCTTCACTCTGTCCTCTCCCTGCGTGGCCTGCTGTTCGTTTGTGCTCCAGCATCCCGGCACATTTTACCCTATGTGTAGTAAGTGAAAAAATTGGAACTTTCTACCAGTTAGGTTTTTTAATCTATTATCTAATTATTTCGGCATAGCATGAATGGCCATGTGGGAGATCGTTATCAGTAAACATAAAGCTTATGAAACATAAAACTTTACACCTTCGTTCATGTTTTCCAGTGCTGTTAATTAGGTCCCAAATTGGAGTCTGATGGGCCGATTTTGGCCCTTAGGTCTTATGTTTGACATCTCTGCTATACAGGGATAAAGTGCAAGAAATGCATATCCAGACTGTTTATGTTGTATAGACTGACATAAATCTGCTCCTAATCAAGTTCATTTATAGTTTTTCAAGATAAACATGTTTTTTTTCATTCACATCTGTTATTCAGTTACATTTCACAAAAAATAAGCAGCATTTCATATTTGAAATATGAACCATATATGTGGTAAACATCTGTTATGTATTTTTACATACATTGTTATTGATGCACTGATTTAATAACACAATAACTTAACACTGGCTGAGTAACAAAAACAGGAAGACCACGCAAGGGTTAGCTACATAAATATACTGTAATGTATTTCAAAACAAACAAACAAACAAAGAAAAAGCTTTCTGTATCAGTAAATTAAACGTTTTTTTCTAAGGAAATCCCCTTTAAAAAGCGCATGCGCAGCGGGCGGAGCCTGCGGAAGTCCTGACGGGAAGGTCTTTTTGTTTGGGCCGCTCAGATACTCGACACTTTGCTTCCATTCCTCGGCTTCACAACCGTTTTTTATCTGCATTAATTTCGGTGAGTACTCTCATTTTCCGGCTCCTCGCCTCGGTTCCCACGCCGCCCTCTCCTTGCGTGTACTGATGTGGCCTGTTTGAAGGCAGAAAATTATGCTTTTTGGGTTTTGTTCGGCCTGGGAATGTTGCCATCATGGGCGCCGCCGGAGGGCGAATTTTAACTTAGCATTAGCTTCATTACAGAGCAGATTGCGGCTCTGCTTTGTTGTTGTTATGGATGGGGTTTTTTTTTCATGACAGCTCGACAGGTGGTTGTGTTTTATAGTCGATGAGGTGCTGATGCGGTGAATTTTCTTGCGTGCGTGAGCCGAGGCTGAACGGTAATCAAACGTGGTTGGCGTGCTAGCGGGCCCGGCTACCTTGCTCGGCGCATGGCGAGGCCTCGAGTTAGCCTGTGCTAATCCACAGTTAGCCAGCTGCTCAGAAAATCCCTCATTGCTCGCGAGCGGAAAGCTATCCGTGGGAAATATCCGTGGAACGTGCTCGCGTTGAGGTCACACCTGTGTACTGTGATTGAATTAAGCAGTGTCGTGCTGATACATCTGGTTATTTCCACCTCCCAGCATCCACCTTTTATAGCCCCGCAGATTGTCTTTTGTCTGCCGAGTACTCCTTCACCTTTGTGTGAGTAGCTAGTCAAAGCCCGGGGGGAGGAAAAGCAGCCGTGCTGGATTTAATTTACTTTGAACTAAATCTGTATTATGTCAGGCTGTTTTTAATAGATTAAGGAGGCTTTCCTCGGAGTAAGATAAATGAAGTCAGAACAGCTAAAACTAAACAACTGCATGCTCGCGGATAGTGGTTAACTACTCTGCCATTTAAAACTGATAAATGCGCATCTCTTAGAGTTTCTAACGTTCTCTGTGTTTGTGAAGGCAGTGGTTACAGATATACACGTTACTTGGTTTAAACTTAAGAGGCACGTGAACGTCTCAGTTACAGCAAAATAACTTGCACAGTGAGTTTCCTTGACATTAATCCAGCTGTTGACGGACCCTGAGCCTGGATAGAAGAGAGTTTGGGATTTAGGAGGGAAATGAAGCCATCACTGCAAAGAAAAGGGGTGTCATGGGTTTAAATACTCAAACATGTATACACTCTTTGGTAGAAATGGAGGGGGGAAATTGGACATGAAAGGGAAAAGCGTCAAGAAATATCAGCCCCTTGGCTGTTATCTGTTAATAAGATGACATTTACTGCCCTGTTTTGTCAGCTGATGGGACTAAATGTTGAGCTGAAGTCTTGGAAGCTGGTCTTTTTTTCCCTTCCCTAATTTGCACTCTTTTTCTACTTATCTCTATCAACTCAGTTTGACTGATTCCCACACAGTGAAGGAACATTTCAGTCAGTGTAGTACTGCAGTTTCTCTCAGGGATGTACAGATGCTGCTGGCTGAAATGTCCCAGAATTATTATTATTATTATTATTCTAAACCAGTGGGTTATTAGTGTGTAAAGGCTACTGTGTGTTTGTGGCTCAAAAAAAGATGAAAACTGGATGTTATTCATCGTTACTGTTATCAGCGTGTTGCTTTTTCAACACAGATCCATGAATTAAAGGAACAATGTGGTTACTTTTATCATTGTCTGGAAATAAGACATGGTTAACAAGCATGATTTGTGACCTTTGTGGTTTGTTGCTGAAGAACTCAGACTTTAAAAACATTTAAGTAAATTAAAATGAAGAAATTGTTGCTTCACTACTAGGTTTGTTTTTCTTTTTTTGCTGAGTGTGCACTTTTTTTTGTTTTGTCTGCTATAGCAAGGGAACATTTCGTCCTGTGAACAATGAACCTCATCGCGGGCAAAAAGTCGGGCCTTTTTCATTGTTTGTACCTTTTAAGGGTTTTTACACCCTGTTAAAATGAAAGGGGGAATGTGTTTTAGTTAAATAGGAACTAATGCATTTCCAAAAATACCATTTTGATAATAATTTAACTCCATGAGCCTTCCTGTATGACTCGCAGCGTCCTTCAAATATTCATGATTACTTTTGAAATTTATCCTCTTTGAAGTGAGAGAAATAAAAGCCTGACTGAAACTGAACAGGTTTTAAGTTAAAACTAAACTGAAAAGAATAAGCCAACTCTGGAAACTCCCAGAGAGTAAACTGATTGAAAACAAACTGAAACTAAGTTCTTACAATAAAAACTTTTCATCTCCGGTCGGTGCCACCAGCTTTTTGAATTACCAGCAGACTCTAAAGTCATTCTACACAGCCCATTGTTACAGGACGTGTGGATAACCCGGCTTACGCCCAGGTGCTGGGAGGAGAAAACATAATTACAGGGCCCGTTGATGAGTTGCCTGTGCAGCTAAACATTAACTCTGTGTGTTCTCGTCTCTTTCAGGGTGTCTTTTATGAATAATCAAAAGCAGCAAAAGCCAACGCTAACAGGCCAGCGTTTCAAAACGAGGAAAAGAGGTGAGTGCTGATTCCTGGATCCACTGATCCCCAGCCCTGCTGTTCCACACTCTGCTTTCATTTCTGAATCAACGTTTGTGTGTCGTTGTCTTCCCACAGATGAAAAGGAGAGATTTGACCCTACTCAGTTTCAAGAAAGTATCGTACAAGGCTTGAATCAAACTGGCACTGATTTGGAAGCGGTCGCAAAGTTCCTCGATGCCTCTGGCGCCAAGCTTGACTACCGCCGCTATGCAGAGACACTCTTTGACATCCTGGTGGCTGGCGGGATGCTGGGTGAGTTGCGACATGTTTTGTTGTCACTCGTGTGCAGAAATGTGTGTAATACATGTATACATTTACCTTTTTATGTGTGTCTGCAGCCCCAGGAGGGACTCTCTCTGATGACATGACCCGAACAGAGTACTGCCTCTTCACGGCACAAGAAGACCTGGAGACAATGCAAGCATATGCTCAGGTCGGTCCCTGTTAATGAATGCGTTTTAAAAATGAAGCACACGTGACAAGCAGGTAATCCTCACAGGCCGTTTCTTCTCTTTGACTCATAAACAGGTTTTTAACAAGCTGATCAGGCGTTACAAGTACCTGGAGAAGGGTTTCGAAGAGGAGATCAAGAAGGTGAGCAATAACTGGATCCTGATAAGGGGATAAGTTCAAACTGGGCTTAGCTGGTTGGAACGGTTTGAGGCAGAGGTTGCCAGCTGTTGATTGCAGTTCCCTTCGTTTGTTTTCAAGATAACAAACTTTTTTCCCCCAAAGCAAGGCACTATGCAGCAGACGAAGTACATAATGTACTGTAGATGTTTTAAAAGTTTCTGAATTTCTTAATCTAAAAATAAAATTTCATTGGTGTTAAAAGTTTTAATTGCGGACTTGTGAGTTTCCCACAAGCCGACTAAACAAGACTAAAGTCAAAATTGATTAACTGATATTTTTCATGCTCTTATTTTGAAGGCTGAGCCTCTGCTATCCCTGTTCCGTTAATGTGCTCCAACTTTAGAGCAGTCTGTTCGCTGCTGTTGCGGCCCTTGTAGTTGGTCAGCTCTCATGAACCTCTGTTCCTGTGGTTGGACAAACTCCCAGCTGCACCATCTTGGATGCTAGCAGTTTCAGCAGCCATGATCTTTGAAAGTACAACTGCAGCACCAGATCATACCGTTAAGTGGTCGGGCTGTTTGAGGTGTTTTTGACTGCCAGTAATTGGGGGGGTTGGGCCTTGATTATACTTTGTCTGCTCGTGTCTGAGTGACATCCACAAGCCTGAATTTGCGTTGCAGTGCACCACTTCAAAGAGCTGAAATGGGAGTGACTGCTTGGCTGTCGGGTCTGTCAGTGTAGTCAAGGACTTTGTGCCGCTGGATCATTATGTGGTGCTTATTTTATGCTTGTAAGCACAGTACTAGGAAGCGTAGGATGGGTGTGTGACACCATACATGGAGTTTAAGTCCTGCTGTAGAAAACTGGTGCCATAAGCACAAAGACTGCAGTCAAAGATGGAGCTGATGTCCACTGATGGGATAAGAAATTAATTGCTGCATGGTGTGCGTTGTTTTCTTTCACACCACAGGAGGTGCTTTGTCTTCACGTGCCCTTACATTTCCGCAAATGCGAGCAGCTCTGTGGGGAAACGACCCACCTGTTGCTGGGGCTAAGTTGGGCCTTTTTATCGCAACTCTTGAACGGTTTGCACAATTGATAAAATCTAATGGGATTTGGAAACAACTGTGCACTTTTCAATGATGTTAAGGGCATTGCAGTGATCCCAGGCGTGGTGTCACAGCAGCCCCATGAAGTTACACTAGTTTATTGCTGATACAAACATTTTAAAACTCTTGACCATCCACAGAAGCTCAAAATGCAAACTTTTAATGTGTGGTAACCCTGGATTTGATTTGCTTAAAAGGTTATTCTCAACATGTCTGGAAAGAAATTTCTTTAGTGGAAGGGAGTTTTAACATCTCTAGGGATGTAAGTATGCCCACAGTTGTTTTTGTTTTTCAAGCTTAAACATGCATTAAACTTGTCTGCGTTCTCTTTGTAGTTACTGCTGTTTCTAAAGGGGTTTACTGAGTCTGAGCGCAACAAGCTCGCCATGCTGACCGGCATCCTGCTGGCCAACGGCAGCATATCAGCCTCCATCCTGAACAGTCTCTTCAACGAGAACCTCGTCAAAGAAGGTAAGGACAAACGTCTTAAGTCTGGGTTTGCAGAGATGCATGGCTCAGAAACGGTCAGAAAGCTGGTCAGGTATCAGTGACAGCAGCAGTTTGGTGGTTTCGTCCTGCAACACTGACACTTTCTGTGGTTCTTGTGTGAAACAGCTTCCCTGGGAAGCTTAACATTAATTAGGGCAGTCAAATTAATTTAAAAAAAGAGTTGGTTTTGTGTTCAGAAGAAGCTCTGACCTGTGTCATCTCTGTCCAGGCGTTTCTGCAGCCTTCGCTGTCAAGCTGTTCAAGTCATGGATCAACGAGAAGGACATCAACTCTGTTGCTGGCAGTCTTCGCAAAGTTGGCATGGACAACAGGCTGATGGTAAGCAAAAACACAAGTCAGGGGCCACGTGTCGACCCATTCCTGCTGCCAGTGTCTCACTGGTGTGTGAACATCCTTCTCCTCCTCAGGAACTCTTTCCGGCCAACAAACGGAGCTGCGAGCATTTTTCGAAGTACTTCACCGACGCCGGGCTGAAGGAGCTGTCTGACTTCGCCCGCAACCAGCAATCCATCGGTGCCCGCAAGGAGCTGCAGAAGGAGCTCCAGGAGCAGATGTCCCGAGGTGACCCTCTGAAGGAGGTGAGGCCACAGGCTGACTTATTTAAATGCCTAATTTATCATAAAAGATATACACTGAGCTCTGAACAACAGGTTTTTAACACTTCTGTTTTTGCTCCACTCAGTTTCTCTGAATGAAAAAGCACAGAAACAGATGTGTGCTTCATTAGTGACTGGCGTGTGTGATTAACCTCGCTGCCTTCCCTCCAGATTATCGCCTTCACTAGGGAGGAGATGAAGAAGGCCAACCTCTCTGAGCAGGCCATGATCAGCATCATCTGGACTAGTGTGATGAGCTCCGTGGAATGGAACAAGAAGGAAGAGCTCGTGACCGAACAAGCCATCAAACACTTGAAGGTACGCAGCAGGGCCGAGGAGCACAGCTGTGGTTAAAGCGCTTAAAGGGATTAATTCATCATTATTAATTAATGAACCTGTGCAGGAAACGCGACTCTACGGCTGAAGGCTTATCCCGCAACCACAGCTATGTCTTACTTCAAAGTAAAAGCCTTGGAATATTTGAATTGAACAGGATTTTCAAGTTGGTGGCAGATTTGCAAAATAAAAGCCTCCTGTTTAGTTCATTGTGCCTCTAGTCCAGCAGTAGCAACAATCTCACTGCAATAAATCCCCAAATTACAGCGTCTATTTATTATTGCCAGTAAATGTTCTCTTTTCAAGGGTCTAAACATCCTCAAACCCATGAACTTCTAGACTAATGAAGACTTTATTATGGGGCTAACACATGTGGGGGTGCAAAACACTTCAATAGCATCACCTACAAAACTAACCTGTGAAATTTGATTCATTTTGTCCATCTTGGGATGTTACACATGTATCTCAGTGGAAACATGCCCTAAACCCCATTTTGGAAGGCTGGCATTTTAAAGTCAAGAGGCAGGTTTTGTAGTATTTATTGGGTCTATGGCGCCACCTACAGTATTTCAATAAAGGAGCCCCAGCACTTGATTTTAATCTGCTTGCATGAAATTCAGTGGCCTCGTGTAATATCCCAAGTTGAAAAGGCATCTTTGTGCCTTCTACTAAACCCAACAGGAAGTCTACAAGTATCTTGGTTGCTATTGAAACTCAGAGTTAGATGGATAAATGTGATTGGTCTGTTTGACCGACCTGAAAACTTTTAAGGAAGAAAATCACAAAGCTGCATGAGAAGCTGTTAAAGCTCGTGTACATCAATCAATCTGTCCCAGACTGTTGGTTGGTGAAAGGAAACTGCTCCACGTGTACCACAGTATTGCTCCCTGCAGCTTTACATGCTCTAATTTAGCGGCTTCTTTCTCCACAGCAATACAGCCCTCTGCTGAAAGCCTTCACCTCCCAGGGTCTGTCTGAGCTCAGCCTGCTGCTGAAGATCCAGGAGTACTGCTACGACAACATCCACTTCATGAAGGCCTTTCAGAAGATCGTGGTGCTCCTCTATAAAGGTTGGTGCTACAGCAGGAGGAAAAAGCTTGGCTGTGACAGCTTGTCTCGTCGGCTTTTAGGTTAATGAAAGGTCATTTTTCCCATTTCCTGACTTTAAAAAGCTGTTTCTTGAATGTGCTTGGTGTCTTTCTTTCTTTTTCGCTACCCAAACACTAGAAAGTCTGGCTTGGCATTGTCCTTTTTACACACAGCTTCAGCTTTGATTGGTCTTAGATTTCCCCCAGAAGTCCAGATTGTTTTTAATAGAGAAACTCTCACCAAGCATCATTAAATTGTTTCTTCGAATCTTTACAAAGGTTTCAGGCTCTCCTGGTGGAAGTTTAATGTGCCCGCCCTCCTCACAGTCCTGTTTTCTCTTTCAGCGGATGTATTGAGTGAAGAGGCCATACTGAAGTGGTACACTGAAGCCCACCTTGCCAAGGGGAAGAGCGTTTTCCTCGAGCAGATGAAAAAATTTGTGGAGTGGCTGAAGAATGCTGAGGAAGGTAAAGAAATAACCTGCACTTCCTGGGTTTTGTGTGTTTTGAGGAGCTGTGTTCAGAGCTGATGGCATATGCTCAAAACCTGAAAGGCCACTAAAAGGTTAAAGGAGCTCTGCATTGAACAGGCCAGTTAGACATGCACCTGTCACGTTGTCTATACATGCCTTTATCATACATGTACCTGAGTGTATTTATGACAACGAAGGAGTTTATACTATATATGAATTTGCTAAAGCTTTGTTTTAGCTTGTTAGCTGACTCAATCACAGGTCAATAAGAAATGCTTGATATGTTTTACAGTCA